GGGCGGCCTTTGCCTTCTTTGGTGTGATGTGGAGTCCAGTCCCCTTTCACTGACTACCTCCCATTTTCTTTCTGAACCTTCCGAGAAGTAAAAGCCACCATTTCTTGAGTCTTCTAGAAGAGCTGCGATCTGTCTGAGGGGCGACTTTTCATGTGGGGCCTGCTAGGTGCTGACACCGGGCAGGGGCTCTCCCGTCTTGCTAATCCCCCCGGGCGGCCTCAGCCTAACCCAGCATGTCCGGGTGAGACGTGAGGCGGCTGGGCCCCTGTTAAGAGACTTGCCCGAGATGATAGAGCAAATAAGTCCATTCCGGCTGCTGGAACAGAACACCACAGACTGGGTATTTGAAACAACAGACATGTCTTTCTCACAGCTCTGGAGGCTGAGAGTCCGAAATCAAGGTGCCGGCAGGTTCGGTGTCTGCTGAGAGCTTGCTTTCTGGTTCACAAACGCACATCTGCTTGCTGTGTCCTCACATGGCAGAAGAGGTGAGGGAGCTCTCAGGAGTCTCTTTTGTAAGGGCACTAATACCGCTCTTGAGCAGGCTCCCTGCTCGCCACCCCATTGCCCAGCATCCTGTGCACTGTACTTGAATAATATGTGCTCTAATATGATCTGTGGTGGGACACTGAATCCATTCCAGTCTCCTTGGCCTTGGAGCCCAGCCCTTTCCTGGGCCCAGCCTGCCTTTGCAACATATTATCTCCCACCACACTCCTGTGTGCACCTAGGGGCTGGTGAACCCAGCCTCTCCCTGGGGCACTCAGCCCTTTGATCAAGGACACAGCTCGCTGTCCTAGAGCTTATAAGGGGCCTAGAGCCTTCCCCATTTCTAGTCACCTTCCTCTAGATATGCTCCAGCCTGCCATATCCACTAGACCTCTGTTAACCACAGCGAAGGTCAGATGTCATGTCACACAGGCCACACCCCCATTCTTGGTCTCAACTGACCACCAGCTGTTAACGCTAAGCCCATTACTGGATCATTAACCGGCCAGTAAGTTTAAGATATGTTTCCTCCCACTCTTCCACACACCCCCCCAGTTGTTGAATTCAAGAAGAGAGGCTTAAAGTTGAAGGAACCTTCTTGTATCAAAAATCAGGAGAGCTTGGATGACAGTTTGTTAAATGAAGGACCCACAAGAGTAAAGCTAGAATAATTAGATGATCGGTGGGTACTTTGGGATAGAGGAGCCCGATGCTCCCTCATAACTTGAATAATGATAGCTTCTTTCTGGCTTGGAGGGAAGGGCCAATGAGACACATAGCCCAAAGCAGGATTTTCACTTTCTAGAAGAGTGGGCATGTGTGTGTGTGTGTGTGTGTGTGTGTGTGTGTGTGTGTGCAGCACGTGCATGCCTATGTGCGTAACATCCCAGGGTTCTCTCAGCCTGAGAGATAGAGAGATTCAGAGACAGAGAGAAAAAGCTCTGCCCTTCTTTCCTGGAAGATCCTCCCCACCAAGCCCAACAGATCACACTTCGGAGGAGGGGTGTGGGCAGGGCCCTTGCAAGCTGGGTTTCAATGACAGGGAGGCTTCTGTGGAAACCGAGAAGAAAGGTCCCCTCTGCAGACGTATTACAGACCTCCCTGTGCTTCCAACTTGTATGGTCTGACTTTGCAGAAGCGACCAGCACCTTGGGTTTGCACTTGCCAATTTGCATCTCCTCCTGTCATTCTGATCACTTTCCAAATTCATAGCCTCCCTTCTATGGCCTCCAGGTCTTTATTTCTAAAGGAACCACAAATGTTGCATTTTGATTTTGGTGGTGGTGGTGGCAATGCTTCCTCAGAAGATAAGCCCATTTATCTTTATAGAAGCCTGAGAAAAGAATCCAAATAGATGATTACCGATTCTTTTCTTTCTTTCCGGGCTTCCAGTGAGTGGCTTTCTTGCCTGGGATCCTCTGTACAGCTGGGAGAGGCATGGAACTGAGGTGCTGACAGCTTGTGTTGGAATCACATGGTGTTTACTGTGCTGCGAGTTTATAACAGTCTTGTTTCCATACTGACAGCAAACGCCATATGGAGAGAAAAAATCCTGTCAGATGAACCCTTAAGGAATCACAATATGGTACATGAAATCTCTTAATTGCTTTTGGAAATGGGGAGGGGCCCATCGTTCAAATCACATCAGCCATGCGGTTCTCTCTGCCATAACTGAATAAAACTGGAGTTTGACACAAGGTACTTTACTTCCATTCTGTCTGTGCTGGGGAGGTTCGGCTGATCGGGAAAGGATGAGGTAGCTTGCTTTCCTCACCTCGGTGGGGGGATCAGGTTCAGTGGGAGGCAGTGAGAACACAGGCTGTATCTACAGGGCATCATGCTAACAGGTGCAGGCCACAGACCTGTCACCCTCTTAGCTCCCTCCCTCCCAGATTCCCTGCTGTGGCTGATGATAACACTCATCTAACTTGACATTTTATTACTGTCACTTGGGATCTTGTCTGCTCACGCACACATTCCACCCTGTTCAACAGAATCCAAGCCCCCTGAGGGCTGGGATTGCATCCCGTTCCCTCCCCCCCCCCCCCCCCCCCAATTCTGGCACACATCGAGGTGGGTTAAATGTTTGTTGGAGTGGCCATTTGTGAACCATCTGTGCATGGAAAGGTAAGGGAGTTAAGGCAGCAGTCCAAGGCGAGTTTCATCCCCGAAACCACTTGACGAGGGATCAAGAGTGGGAACTTGGAAGGTGGCTATCTGTGTTGATCAAAGCATCCACTCAGGAGAGAATGAGAAATTTTTGAGTGCTTTACACAGTGTACTTAGAACTGGTGACTGCCCACAAAAACAGTTCCTGCCTTCAGCCAGTTTACCCATGAGAGGAGAAGTGGGCTGTAAAACTCTCCAGCCTGTATGCCTAGGCACTTGCTCTTTTGGTTGCCAGAGACACAAACCCAACACCAAATTACTTCAACATTCTGTCGGGTAAATAAATGTGCAGGCACCAGGCTGGCCTCGGTGAGGCTGGCTTCACGGGCTCCTGAGATGTTCACACCACGGGGTTTCTTCCTTGGGCACTCAGTCCTGCTTTCTCCCCTGCTTCATCCTCTGTGGGTTCTCACTGCTCAGTGGGAGAGACAACTGTGGCAGCTCTTGGTGGACTGGTCCTGAGACCTCGGCATCCAAAGGAGAAGCAAGTGCCCTTCCTGTAACTTCTACAGGACTCCCACCAACTCAACTCGTATGCCTTGAACCACCATTGCGGCCTGGAGATAGAGGGCTCTGATTGGCTAGCACTGAGTCACATGTCTGTTTCTGAACCTATCACTGTGGCAGAAACAGGGACCTCTTATTGTTTAGGGCTGAGTCAGGTGCCCGTCCTTCATCCGGTCTTGTGGCTGGGAGATGGGGGCTCTGATTGGTTAGCCTAGGGTCATGTGCCCGTCGTGCGGCTCCCTTGGAACCCAAGGCTGGATTTTTGCAGACTCAGTGGAGATTCCTTGAAGGAATGGAGATGGAACAGACTAAAAACCCGACAAACACAATGATGACATGGTGTTTAGTAAGCACTTTCTATGTGTTATGCTCTGTTCTGAGTCTTTCCTATGCATTGTCTTAGTCCTCATGACAGTCCTAGAAGATAGGTATGACTACTGTCCCCAGTTTACAGATGGAGAAACTGGGGTATAAAAGTATTAAGTCAGTTGCCTCAGGGCACAGGCAGTGACTGGTGAGGCTGGGGTTTGAACCCAGGCAGTTTAGCTCCTGAGCCGGTGCTCACAGTCACCACTCTCCTTTCAAGTCAGAGCTTTACTTTCTGTAAAGCTCTTTGGGTGTGAAAGTGAGTTGATGTGATGGTTGCATGCATATCCTTATTGTGTTCCTGATGTCCAGAGGAACTCCCCCCCCACCCCACCCTTGCTCCTCCTCTGCATTTGAGAAGGATACAGTCGTTCCTTCTGGTTTGCTCCTGAGGTCACCTGACTGTTTCTAGTGCAGCTGCACAATCAAAGATCCGGTGTTCAGTGCTTGAGAGGGCAGGAGGCACCGTGTCTCAGTCGGTCCTTTGAGCATCTTTCTGGTCAAAGAAATCACCTGTGGAGGCTTTGGCATCATTAAGGAAGAACCAGAAGATCCCCTCTCCCCCATCTTACTTCCAACGTGTGCCTTTATTTTTCAGAGGAAGACTGAGGCCTAGAGAGCAAGTGAGTTGCTTAAAGTCACATAGCAGGTCATTGGCTCACACCCGGTCTCCAGGCGTCCAGGCTGGGAGTGTTACACTACATTTCCTCTTTAGAACTCTCTTGGCTGCTGAGTGGCTGAGGGCTGGTCACTTCTCGTTTCCATGCCTCTAGCTCCTCAGCTGGAAGATGCAGGGTTTTCATAATTTGAAATGCTTTGGATTATAAGTAATTTTGAAATCAGCTCATAAATCAACTTTTCGGATGTGGTTTGAGCTGCAGGCATGGTTTGATCCAGAGATTCATGACACCGTGAGGACACGGTGGTGGGTGTCATTTTCCCAGCTCTGACCTCTTCTGTGCATGAGCCTCATTATCACAACAACTTTCCTTGCAGGGTCAAGAACATGGCAAGTAGACCCTGGCCTCACCCCCATGCACCCCAACACCCAGAGGGAGAGAGAGCACTTCTGCTTGGTGTGCCCAGGCACAGTCTGTGGTCCACTCTGATCGGAACTGGCTTGGGTTACATGCCTGCCACCCTTATCCAGTCACTAACTGGGGAGTGTGACAGGGTGATCGGCCACCCAAGGCGTGGAGGCATCATCCCCAGAACTGCCGGCATCTGGCATCAGGAAGGAGGAGTGAGCTAGGAACTAGAGTTTGGGTCATAACCGGTCCTTCCTCTACACCGCCCTTGTCCCCTCTGAGTCTGCACAGCCTGGAGATAAATAAGGGGTCCTGAGAATTTGCCAGTCATCTTGCTCCATCCATCTGGGGCTCCGGATCCAGGTGTGGGTTGATTGGACGGCCCAGCCTGGCTCTCTCCTGCATCTCACCACATTCTTTTTTTTCCCCCTCTGTTTCCAGACAGAGATTACTGCAGTTTATGTGACAAGCAGCCAATTGGGAGGCTGCTTTTCCGGCAGTTCTGCGAAACCAGGCCCGGGCTGGAGTGTTACATTCAGTTCCTGGACTCAGTGGTAAGTCCCTGCTCCCGGGGAGGCCCTGTGGTCCTCTGTGACCAGTGATTGTGTTTGCCCAAAGGAGAAGATAGGCCACATCGTTTATAAGGGTGAGAATGAAATTGTTGCTCAAGAGATGTCCAGCGCAGACTTTGAGAGTACTGACTTGTCTGCAAGTCTGCACCTGCTGGGTGACCATGGGTGACCCACCTTCCTCTCTGGGCCTCGGTGACTGCTGCTTTAAAGTGAAGCCCTGTCAGTTCTCTGATTCTGGGATCCTGGGTTAGTATACCAGGTAGTGCCTGAGGAACTTGGATGACACCCCAAGATGACGCTTGGATTCCGTGACCCCTTCTCTTGGCTGAAAACCCATTTTCTAAAAGTCCAAAGCTTGTGTTTGTGTACTGTTTACTGTCTACTTCTCTGCTAGAATGCAAGCTCCCTGAGTCCAGGACCCTGAGATTCCTAGCACAGGGCCTGGCACCTACAGGCATTAAGTGAACTTTTGTGGGATGAACATGTGTTGGTCATTTCAAGCCAATCCGACAGTTGCTGGCTCCAGCAGCTGCTGGCATGTGTAGCTATGTTTGATACCATATGGAGACTTTCTTCAGATTTCCTAGTCATTGGTTTAACAAACGGTGCTTGATCTGCATGGGCTTTTAGGACAGGGTGTAGGAATGAGCAGGAATTTCTCAGCACTTGTGCAGGAAGGCCTCTCACCTCAGCCTGGAAGACCGCCCTTTGGGTGTCTATCCAAGGAAGGTGGACAGTGGGTGGGAGGGCAAGGAATGGAGACCAGTCATGAAAGGAGTGGGGTATTTCCAGGCTCCCGAGAGACCGCTGTTTTCTAGCGGCCCTAATGCCACCCTTGGCTGCGGCCATCCTGACCTTTGTCTCGGTTTGGGGGACAGCGCTGTGGGGCCCAAGTTTCTGTGTCTGCTTCAGGGTCTCAATGTGGATCTGTAGATTTGCAAGCCAAATTGCCCACTGAGCGTCTCTGCCAAAAGTCGCCTTCCCCCAGATCCCCAAAGCTACCAGGCCTGACATGTTCCCTACTCCAGTGACCAGCACCCATAGTCACCCAAGCCTGAAATCTTTGCAATGTCCTTGACCTCTCCATCTTCCTCATCTCCTCCCCCATCTAATCAAAGACCATGTGCTTGGTTCCTTGGCCTCCCATGGACCAGTTCCCTCCATCACCTCTGTCTTGGTCTCAGTGGAGGCTCCCAGCATGTCTCACATAAGCGACTACGATGGTTTTCAACCTTGGTTGAGCAGTAGAAACACCTGGGGAGCCTTCAAAAAATACCAGTGCCTGAGCTGAAGCCCAGACTCATTAATTTGAATCTCTGTGGGGTGGAGGGTGAGAGCTAATATTTTCATAACTTCTCATAGTTTCAAACTGTAAAAAGTAAAGTCAAAGAATAGTCTATGCGCCCTTCACCCTTCTTCAACAATTACAAACTCTTGGCCGGTCTTGTTTGACCATGTCCTCCCCGTCTGTAGCACTTTGTAGTAAATATCATATATATTTTGCCCGTGAACATTTCAGTAGGTATCCCTACACGATAAGGGCTCTCTCTCTCTCTCTCTCTCTCTCTCTCTCACACACACACACACACATACATCACCACAATACCCTTAGTGCAGCTCTAAAAAAGTAATTATTATCATCAAATATTTGTGTTTAAATTTCCAACTTTCTCATACTTTTCATAAATGCATGTTTTGACAGGTTATAACCATCTCTCCTTGTTCATCCAGAAGAGTGACCCATAGTCTGAATTCTGCTCTGTCACCCCATGTGTCATGTAATAGGCTTCTCTGTGTTGCTTGTAAATTGCTCATTGAATCTAGAAACCTGATCATATTCAGGTTCCTTTTTTTTTTTTCCCCCAGCAGGGGCTGGGGGACTGACTTCATAAGTGGTTTTGTGTTCTTCCGCCAGGGGACATTACTATCTGCTTGTCTTTCTTTTAGAGATGGCAGCAGGTTTAGGTATTCAGTGCCTAAATCTGTTGATAAATTAGGGGTTGCAGCATGCCGACATTCTAATTTTGTCATTCCTTCTTCATTTGCTAACTGGGTGACAGTTCCTTTCAATTACTGTTTGGTTACCCACTGATAAAGTTCGTTCATTCTATCCCTGTATTTATGCTTTTAAAGTACCAAATCAGTTCACCAGCACCCTTCTGTAGTAGTAACCAATTTGTTTTGAAGGTGTGGATTTAAACACGGGATGCATTTCGATGCATGGTAGTTGATTCTCCGTGGTCTCATTGTTGGCCCCCAGGTTGGCTTCTGAGCCCTTGAGAAGACCCAGGAGTCATGGACAGTCTCTTTGCTAAGTGGTAGGATGTGATGTGACAGCTCATCTTGTATGTTTCCTGCCCTAGACGTAGAGTCCATTGTATCTCCAAGGAGCCCTGGTTCCTTCTACTGGGAAATGGTACTTGGAGACCACAGTTTGACACTAGGGGTGCTCATTACCAGTGGATGGGCCCTTATTTCTAATAGACATTGGTATTTTCCAAGTCTGGGGGACATGGACAACCAGGATACGTGGAATCCTGATACCAGGATTCGGTCCACGTTCTGAGGCCGAATACCAGACCTCCCTCTGACAGGCCCCCGAACCTGCACTTTCATCCTCGACCTTCGCCTGGGTCTTTCTTGAGCTGTGCGTTCCGGCCCTGCCACCTGACTTGCCGCCACAGAGGCTGAAGTCTCTCGGCCCCGGCTCCCTCACTCTCGATGCCTGAAATGCCCCCCACCTCCCCTCTGCCTGTTGAATGCCTGCTTGTTGTCTCGTACCCTACTCTCAGAAGCATTCCCCAACACCCCCCCCCCCCCCCCCCCCCCCCCCCCCCCCGCTGCACCCTCTGCTCTGGGTCCTCCCTCCAGCACGCACCCGAGCCTCAGTACTGGGCTGTGCTGGCAGAATGGTATGTTAGTAGGGAGTGCGGGCTCCAGAGAAAGACTGAAGGAACTGGCTGGTGGGGAGACCTTGGGCCGGGAGACCTTGTGGAACCCTCTGTAAGAGTTAGCCAGGTGAGTGTGTGGTGGAACAGCATGGCAGGCAGGGGAACAGCTAGTGTGGCGGCCTGCAGGCATGGAATCTGTGGCTGGAGTGGAGGGAGCAAGGGCAGAGGGGGGTCTAGGAGAGGTGTGGTGATGAAAGAACTTTGTGCCATTAAAGAACTTTGACTTTGAGTGAAATGGGGAGCCACTGGAGGATTTTGAACAGAGCAGTGGCATGATCCGACAGGTTTCTAAAAGATCCCTGAGGCTCCTGTGTTGGAACAGGTAGGAGCTCTGATAGGAGCTACTAAAGATGAGAGTTGATGGTTGCTCGAGCCAGCGTGGGAGCATTCGGCAGTGGTGACAGTGACTGCATTTGGGGCGTGTTTTTGAGGCAGAGTTGACAGTACTTTCAGATGCAGTGTGGGCGAGACAGAAGAGTTATGGATGGCTTCAAAGTGTTGACCTGATCGGATGGAAGGGTGAGAAAGACTGTGGGAGGTGCGTTTGGGGGAAGACCAGGAACTCCATTTTAGGCACAGGCGGCTGGATGGTCTCTCGGACACCCAAGTGGAGATGATTGAGGGGAGATTGATGTTCAATTCTGGGGTCTGCGAGAAAGTTCTGGGCTGGAGATGGAAGACTGGGACTTGTCAACACACAGCTGGTATTTAGGGCCATGGGCTGGGCAAACTGACCAAGGAGACAAATGTGGAAGGAAAGATGAGGACCAGAGCCTGAGCCCTGGACCAAGACTGCTCCCCATTTGGAAACGATGAGGCATCACCAGCTTTGAGACTCATCTAGAGAGTTGATGAGGCAGAGCAGGGCAAGGCTGAACCCAGGAGCCAGTGGAATTTTCCAGCCACGTGTCTTGTTAGACACTTATAGTCAGTTTGAGAAGAAGAAAAAAAAATCCAATGGATGCCCATTTTCATTCTGGTCGTGCAGACGCTCCCTTTTGCTGGGCCTGTACCAAGAGCTTTTTTTTCTGGAAAGGAAATGTGAGTCTGGCTCCTCTGTTGATGCGACAAATGCTCTTTACATACGTCTTAACGCGGCCGCCACTCCTAGAGCCGACCCGCCCCTTGCGTTTTGTCTGCATCTCTGGGAATGAGCGGGGCCTTTTCATCACCCATCTTGACGTCAGATGACCAGCCTTTGGAACACCTCTTTTACGCAGGAAGACTTTATTGAGTTTTCCAGGGCTGGCGCAATTCTTGTCTGAAATATGTTTTTTCCTTCCATCCTGCCTGGAACTCCAAGGAGGCAGCATACAGCCCCGGTGCTCCCTGGCTCAGCCAGCACCGTCCACACCATTCCCACCTCTGTGTTGAATTCCTACCAAGCGGAGTTTATTAAAAATAACCCGTCCTCGTCAGGCTCTGACGTAGTCCCCGGGAAAGGCTGCTCTCCTGCACAGTCCTAATGTCTGAGTTTTTCAAGTCAAGCAGGGGACTCATGGCTGTCTTAAAATGGGGCCTGGGTGATTCGGGGGTGGGGCGCAGGATGGTGTGTGTATCGTTCATCAGAGGTAATTCTGCAGGGGTCATTTCAGCCTTCATCTCGGTTTTCAAGGGCTTTCTGGGAGCCTCAGAAGGACTCTCTCATTGCCTCCCACGGAGAAACAGAGTGGCCAGAGTCAAAGCCATGACTAGATTTGGTTTCAAAGAGGATTTGGCCATCTGGTCAGGGTTCCAGTGTAACCTCCTCAGGACAACAGAGTCTTTGCACGGACTCCTTGAAGATTGATGTACTGCCTCTCTCACCTGTTTTCTGGGAGCCTTGATGGCATCCCAGCTCACCTGAAACCCTCCTATCCCCCCACTTGGGTGTGACTGAAACTTTGCAGGTTTCTTCTCTTTGGGGTTAGGGGAGGTTTGGCAGATACTCAACCAGTTTTTCAGCACTTCTTTACTGAATATATCCAGTATATCATACTCCGTTCTAGCAGTTGGCGGCTACACGCTGAGCAGAAATAAGTGCCTGCCCTC